TATTAGAAAAGTAAATGCAATACTAGATATATAGTGTTTTTCGTCAATATCATTGAGAGATGAATAAGTGTGTGACAGCTCATCTCAGTTCATTGAGCTGGTTCTAATCGTCCAGCTCTTTTGAGGTAAGCGAAGCTGGTGGCTCGCTCTTTTGATATGAGAGGAGCTGGAAACCCGCTCTTTTGAGATGAGTGGAGCTGGTGACTAAGATTGTATAGCTTAAACTTATGTGAGCGCCTCAGCTCTACTTACCACACATGAGTTACCGATAAAAATCAACCCATCTTTGCTTCTGGTCGTTACAAGGGGGAACAAACTGATTTCGTGCTTTCAAGTGCTTTCAAATGATTTCGTGCCACGAGGGGACAAGCAGATTTCAAGATTTTCAGATTTCAAAAGATTTCGAAAGATTTTGGAAGATTTTAGAGATTATAGATGCCAACATCTCTGTTTCCTCTAGATCAGAAATAATCTGTTTTCGCTTGTCTTCACTAGGATTGTTCAGTTTAGCCTGGGGAGCTCTCATGAGCGTGAACTCCACTTTCAAACCGCTTCTCAGCTATTGTAAGGACAAAACATACTGTTGTTTGGGTCATATGAAAGAGGACTCTCAATAACCCTAAGATCAGCCCGAACGACCCCATCTGTTATCCTAATAATAGTGGAAAAAAACGTACTTTAACCTGATTGGTTGACAATTGACCAGTAAGCTTAGAGGAAGCTATTTCTTTGCTTTTGTAAGGACAAAACATAGGGTTCTTTGGGGCGATGGTATGGCTATAAAGGGTTCTCTTCCATATGACCCCAACAAGCGTATGCTTTGTCCTTATAATAGCCAAGAAATAGTTTCCTGGAATTTGATTGGTCACTTATCAACCAATCAGAGTAAAGTACGTTTTTTTCACTAATATAAGGATAACATATGAGGTGGCTCTGGTCGATCTTAGGGTTATCCGGGGTCGTCTTTCATATGATCCTAACAACCATATGCTTTGTCCTTACAATAGCAAACAAATAGCCTCCTCGAATCTAATAGCTCAATTTTGAAGATGTACAGTTCAGACTGATGAGCGTTCACCCGGTTGACCTGTACGGCTCTAATTGTAAGACGCCTTGTTTTAAGATTGCACAAGATTACAAACGATTCCGAAAGGTTTTATAAGATTTCAGAGGTTTTGCATTCGAAAATCTATTTTTTCCTCATTGTTTCGTGTGACCTGGAATTATTTCATTGATTTCTGATGATTTCATTGATTTCAAATTGATTTTAGCGATCGAAATCAGTTTGTCCCCCATTGATCTGGATAGACAAGAAGGTTGATCCATTTCTTTCTTCATTGACACCCACACCCACACATATGATGGGGAATTTAAATTTGTGGTAAATTCACTTTCTTTAAAAAAAAGTGAATTTGCGACAAATTCGTTATATAGAGGTATAGAAACATCGTGAGGGTGATGGGGGTAGCCTTGAGGGAGTACCCTTGGAGAGCTACCCTTGAGGCGGTACCCTTGAGGGGGTACCCTTGGGGGTTCTCTGAAGGTGGTATCCTTGAAGGGCTATCCTTAAGGAAGGTATTCTTAAGGTGGCTGTACCCTTCGATGGGGGATTTCTTTGTGTTTAACGAAGCTATTGCTGTTATACCTCTATACCGCCATAGAGATATAGCGGTATAAGGAATTCTTATACCGCTATTTAGCTAGAGCAGTATAGCGGTATAAGCGTTTTGAATTTGCCGCAAATTCAAATTTTTCATCAACTCAGAAAAAGAGCTGGTCTGTAGACCTAGCTCACACAAAAAGAGCGAATCATTATCGACTTGAGCCAGCTCATCCCGCTTATTGAGCTGTCACACACCTAGAGATGAAATGAATTTTCGTTTTCTATGGATTTGTTTTATCAAAAGTAAAACATCAATAAAAAAATAAATTTAATATAAATGTCTCATTGATCGACGATTGACGATGTCATCATTGTTTTTTTTATATTCGAATGAATTTATATTGTGTTGCTTAATTCTATTGTCCTCGAGATGATCGATAGATTTATCTTTCAAGACTCTTAAGTTTAGAAAAAATCTTAAATAATTCTATACATTCGATAAATTTCGCTTGGATTCTAGATAATTTTCCAAATTATTTCGATTAAGTAATTATTGCATTTCTGTATTTCAGTATCGATTAAAATTCAACTTTCTTAAAATGACTCAGAAATGAAAACTAAGTAAAATATATTCCACATGAGAAAAATACATCAGACTTGAAGGCTAATTCAGATCGTAAAAATCTACATAAGAGTTCAAAATCTTTCACGAGGATTCTACATTGAATTCAACCGCAAGATGGCTTCCCGGTTGTTTCCTTTCAGATTCCACCCCTATTTGTTTTTACAGTTGCAGATAATACAGTGCGTGATAAATAAAATATTTTTAGCATGAAAAATAAGATAAAGTAATTGATATAATTATAGCTACTTCAATGAATTCAACGCCCAAAAACTCTTTAAAAACGATCGAATGGATGTGGCAATCGAATCCCGATCCATGGTCGAAATCTGAACCAGCTAAATGGAATCATTTTTCAGATATGGAAAATCTAATCATTGAAGAAGCATTCTTAAATAAACAACCACGAGCTATCCTAGATGAATACTATATTGATTTCGGAAAAAATCGCCAAATATCTAACATTGATGACTATAGACAAAGACCTGTCAAGCGTATACTGCGTAACAGGGAGGATAAACATTTACGAGAAGAACGTTTTGTAGATCTTCCTGTTTCTTCAGTGCGTTCATGTGGTGGTGAATATGGTTGGGTATCGCCGTTCGTAATTGAAGTTAGAAGAGACTTGAAGCTCAACCGAGATGACCTACCTTCGAAAAAGCCAGAGCTGATTCCGATACTTGTTGAAAAAGCTGCGAAAGGTATTATTAAAGAAGGCAAGCATCTCCGAAAAGAAAAGGAAGCCGAAAAAATGGCCAATATGCTGAGAGAAATCAAGGATAAAACAATGGAAGAAGTATGGCAACGTTGCGTTTACCTGTACTCCTTGTCAAGTTTCCTGTACAGAAATTTGAACGCAGCGATGAGATTAGTAGGAGACAAAGAGCATGAACAAGCATGGAAAAGTACACTTCGTACATTAGGACCATTTTGTTTACTCCTATGGGATGATCCATTTAACCAAAACGTGACACTCAAAAAGACACTTTATCGAGGAGCCAATCTAAAACACGAGCACATCGTTGTCTATGAAGAAATGGCCACAAATCCGAACGAATATCGATCATTTCAAGCATTCACATCATGTAGTCGCAACCGTCAAAAAGCAGAAGAATTTGGAAATACTTTATTCATAATGCAAATTTTGTTTGCGTTCGTTGCTGATCTTACTCCATTTTCAGAATTTCCGACTGAAGAGGAAGAACTTATTGCTCCAGGTGTTTGCTTCCGTGTAAAAAAGGTTGACTCTGATTGCAACATCGATAAGCATATAATCTATTTGGAACTAAGACAACGATTTTCTGGTAAGTTGAAAGGAATCTTTTTCACATTATAGTTTTCATAATACGAAAAATGTTTCCTTTAGATATTGCAATTCTCATTTCACATACTGTAAGAAGATTATATCTGCAGAAGAAGTCACAAGTTTTCCAATAAATTAGTTAAGTTCTGGATTGTATTATAAGCAATTAGTAACTGATGAGAAGACTCAGTAGTTTTTGGTGATTATGTAACTTACTATACACACAAATATCTGCACAAAAGTCAACGCCCGTTGTGTTTAAATAGGAAATTCTAGAAGTGTAACTTTTTCACTGATGAATGCAATAAATTATGCATTTTTGAAATCTATATTGAGAATAGCATATAGAATATAGTTGAAGATATAAAGTTTTTACATATCACTACTACTGAAAATACTGACACAAAAGTGAATATTTTAACCGTATTTCTGGTTTTACTTTCAATAGTATCGGCTAAAAAACGTAGAGAGCTTCAATTTGGAGAAAAAAAGCAAGGTGATGTAGGTTCTCCAAAAATTGATTTTCTGCTTTACTGTGTATCCAGAATAGCCAGTTATCAGCATTACCAGTAAAAACCAGCAGATATGATAGCTGTTGATGAATGATCTACACAATTGTAAGAACATAACTTCTAAACGTGTACTACGTATGTGGCTGTTTGATTCTTACAAGAAGAATATGTACGAAACAGTTAAAAATTCTGCTAAACTCTTAAATCATGGGAAAATATTGCGCATAAGATCAAATTTAGAACCATTTATGGCATAGTCAGAGACTTGAATAATTTATTACGATTACATCTATTTGACTTTATGGCTTTTTTAATCTTAGTTATGTGGCAAGCCCGATTTTCCTGATTGAAGTTCGAATATAAACGAAGACTTGACTATATCTTATGACTTCGAAAAGGAACGAGAAAATAATTGATACTAATATTGAAATAAAAAAGACAAAAAGAAAAATAGCTCTTTCACTAGAATGTAAGCTGCCTCGCTAACTGAATCTCCAATCCATTACACTGTAGCAGTAGTCAGCTATTCTGTGGTGTACTGCAGCCACTGTCTTAGTTGGTATCTGTTGAATCTTAAATCCCACAGTCACTATCTACAATGCCAGACTGAGCTAGTGTTCGGAGTGACCAACTTGACTTACGCTAGTCACATGCATGAAAATAAGCACAGTCTGTGTCTATGGTTGCCTGTGCCAATTTTTCCACAGGATAACCTATTTTACATTCTTGGCTTACTGTGATAATTTAGTTCTTTATTTTCTTAATCAAAATAAGTATAAATCACATAGGAGAAATCAGAATTTAGGAAAATTGAAATTCTTCTATTATTCTGTAGTAGACAGGATATAAACAAGTGCTTAGAACTTTGCAATGTGAAACATTATATAGCTTTAAAAGCAGCACAGTATGACATGGATTTATTTATATTTGCATCTGCATAGTTTTTTAATCACATGTTTTGCGTACCTTATTTTTACGATTTTTTTAATTTACTAGATTTCGCTTTCGTTGAGCGATTTTCCCCTAACGAAAATCCGTAATAAAGTTTTTTCCCTAACAGATATCACAGAAGTTCAAAAAATGTCTACTGAGCATTGGGTCATTTGATTGATACAACGGATAAAAGTTAGTCTTCAAGATGAGAAGAAAAAAAAATAATATAAAAAAATTTTCTTGAGATATTTCACGAAAAATAAAGAAGGTTTTCGAATATAATGTGTTACCTTAAAGTTGTTCAAATGTGTTTTTTTTCTTAATGATAATCTGAAATCATGGTTCGTCCTCTGTTGATCAGCATCAGATTATTAAATTAATACAAGTTTAACTTCCTTTTTATTTAAACTCAATCGCTAGCGATTAGCTAAATCTTTTTTCTAATGGCTTCACTGTATGGGCAGATAGAGGCAATATCAATGAGCATTGAATTGTTAGGTAGCTATCAATATCTGTCGCGTAAAATAATAACTACACTCTTTCAAACAACAAGCTTTGCTTTTCAGTCTTTTGACTTTGGAAACTTCGCAAGCAAGTATGACAGTCAGATAGCCATATTTATATCAATGATATTGGTAGGAGATTCAACAAGATTTGTCTCAAAACAGAAGACTTACACAGAAAAAAAAATGAATTCAATAAATAAACGTACTAGAACTGATATTTGATTATTTTCAGAGTTTCTTCTATACATATGCTTAAAGAATAGTGCCGGAAGCAGACGGTGGCTTGTTGATGGGCGAGCCTAATAAACAATTGAGAATTCGCTAGTGAGATCTTTTTAAAGACGTATTTCACTCTCTGATAAGAGCTTACAGATCCGTGGGATTAATAACTTCTGATGAATCGCCTCTCTCTTCGCCTAATCTTGACTTCTCTATTACCAGAAAAGTTCGTTCAATTTCGTCAGTTAATTGTCACTTCATATTCACCAATGTTGATAGTAAGGTGTGGATGTGCTTAAATTATAATAACTAGTAAAGTCCTCATAAATTGCCAATAAATATATCCTGTAAATATAGTAAATCCTGACTCCCATAGTGTTCCGATTGCCTTTATTGAGAAGAGGTTTCACTCTTTGAAATAAATTTATTTGGTCAATTTTTGGATTTCGTTGAGCATTGGCATTTGTAAAAAGCAATTAAGATAGTATCAATAAAGGTAAAAATATTCTGAAAATTTTGAGATTTCTTCAAGCATAAAAATAAAGAATGATTCATGTTTGAATCTGCGAATGTGGCCTGGTTTGAAACTTGCGTTTAACATTAGAAAAAAGTTTCCAATTTATTGTTAAAGATATTTTCTTACTAAAGAAAATTTTATTACGTAATTAAAAGTGAATTCACGTTGTCGGCAAGAAAATATTCTCACGTTAGCTGTTTTCGTCTGCTTTAGAACTATTAACCTCATTTGCTGAGCCATTGAGACTCTTGAAAAATTGAAGAAGCACTTCATTTTCAAGTAAGAAAATTTTTCAACAGATAATAAGAGTAATTTCTTTCTATATCTTATTTGCAATTTGATAAACCATTTCGATATGCATTCAGATCATCATAAAAATCCCAAACCATTATTGGATCAGTTTTTATCTCAATGAATGAAGATTACGCCTAAGACGAATTTGAGACAATGTAAAAATCTTAGTGCTGCTGACATTTTCAGCCTTATTAACTATGTACTCATATCAAGGTTCTATGTAGAACTCGTAACTATACGATTGTCAAATACTGATAGATGTGTATTATAGACACCTAATATATTATCAACAGTATACTAGATCGAAATGCGCCGTATTGAGGATACATTATGAAACAGACTTAAACATAAATTCTTCGTATCATCGACTAGAAAAATGAAGGTACCATTATTTGATATATATGATAGCATTTCACACTGTTAGCGTTCTCTCTTCTCTCTATGTGTGGTTCGATAGAGATATATGTATTCGTATGTCCTTGATGTACGTGGACTAGTTTATTTCGTAAGGAAAAGTAACAACTGTTTTTTATAACGATATAAAAGAATACATATATCATGAGAAGAACGAGAAGAACGAAAAGAACGAATACAAGATCAAAGAGAGACGAAAGAGCGTAGAGGATAACACTAATATAGAGAATGTGTATACAGGCGACATCACTGTAACACACACCCATTAGCAATACGTATAACTTTCTTTTACATAAAAATTCCAACCTTCCATCATAATGCATCGAAATCATGAAAAGAAAACAGACAAGAAATGTAAAAGACTTTTTCGTATTATCTTAAATTTATAATGATAATAATTATGAATATATTTTAACTCAGTTAAAATTCGTCCATATAAGATCGAAAAGGTCGATATAAACTCTGACGTAACTCAGACTTTAAAAATATAAAGTTTAAGATTTACTATACACTTTATTTAAGTCATATTAAAAATAGAGATAATTATTGATCCATTTCATCCGTTATCAGGAAATTTCTCTGATATGATTATTTATATAGATGATTTATTTCAATATATCTAAGTATTCTTAAAATAAGAATACATTGGTATTGACGATATATTTAAAGCATTTTACCAATTTCGACAGCCCTTTTTTACGTTAAAAATATATCAACCAAGGAGTCACATATGAGCACAAAAAAAAGGACAGTCCTGTCTTCAGTTTGGATATAGTGATTGTCTTTTTTTTAATTCTAAATTCAGAGATGAAATTCAATATGACTAAAGAATGTACATGTTGCTTAATTTTACAGCAGCTACAAAATGGTACATTAAACATAAATATTGAATGTAGCTTGGTTCAGAAAATTGCTTTATGATAGTCGTTACCAGGTTTATCATGGTTGTTCGCGATCAAATATGAACAAAATGCATATTCATGCAGAATTTTGTAGATCTTCTGTATGCTTGGAGTTCGAAAAGAATAAGTCACAACAAAGTCACGGTGTCAAGTACTAATCCTGTGCCGTTTTGCAGGAGGGACAAAGATTTTCATTTTTTCAGGATCGCATAAGAGAAAAAAACATGTCCTGTGCTCATGTCGTTAAAGAATATATATGCTTCAGAAATGAAGAATCATATTGCATAAAAGACGGATTCGATTTTTCAACATTTTAATAATATTTAAAACAATCGAAATTTTGATAGTTTCTCTGATTTTCGAAAATATATGAAACTACTCTTTCCTTGCAAACCAAGGAGACATATCATGGAAAACGCAGGTAACGTACAGACATGTTTTCAACTTTCAACGAATGTATCTAGAGCGTGATAAGAGGGAAAGACTTGTGATTTAAAAAAAATATGTAAGTAAACAAATTCTATAATACTTGAAAGTTTGAGCCTCAACTGTCTGTCTGTTTGGATTTTGTGAGTGAAATACTGGTCGGTAACGCATAGACAAAAAAAGGCCCTCGGTTCTTGATAGGCGCGAAAGAAGTGATAAAGTCTGCGAACTACTCCATGCTAATGAATTGAACGAGAGAGGGTTTTGTAGCTAAAAGTCAGGGATATCTTCTGGTAAAGAGAAAATATTG